CAGACTCAGGGTCCAGACTCAGGGTCCAGACTCAGGGTCCAGACTCAGGGTCCAGACTCAGGGTCCAGACTCAGGGTTCAGACTCCAGTGCAGAGTCACAGCAGCTCTGTTTAAACAAAGACGTCTCCCCACCTTTGTGTTTGATGGATTTATGTTTTTCCATTTGGTCTTTTATAGTGTATAGGGTTTATAGTTCCAAGGTGCAAAATAAAGACGTTTGGGAGCAGCTTTATCCCAGCTGCTATTATGTTTCTGGATAAATCACGACAGCTTTTAGTCTCAGAGTGTTCATGTGTAGAGTTCAGACGTGTCCACCAAGAGCAGCGCTCTGCTCAGAGTCATGTCTTTAACTGGGTTTTAATGTGGTTTTTGGATCCAGTTCTTTTTTTTTAAATTCTGTGGCTGCAGAAAAAACAAATATCAGCAGCTGCAAATAGAATAGAATAGAATATCTGGGATTATTTTAGATTTGTCTTTGGGTGATTAGGATTACTGTTAAGTAAGCCCAGAGAAGAAGAAGGAGGAGGAGGAGGAGGAGGAGATGTAGACATTGGAATTAGAATTAAAATTAGAAGGAGAAAGAGAAGGAACACAAGAAGACAGTAGGAGGAGGAGGAGGAGGAGAAATGTGATGTAGGATTACAAATAGTAAAAGAGGAAGAAGATGAAGACTTTTGAAACAGATCTCTCTGTTTTGACTGATTTTTTTCAGGTAGTTCTTGTACAACTCTAACTTAAAAACATTCTAATCCATCGATCTAAAATCTACTGTCACAACCAGCAGTCAAATACAGGGAGACAAAGGAGAGAACTAAAGCAGCTGTAGGGGAGTGACGTGTGTGTCAGTGAACGCATCATTAGTTGGTAAGAACTGTTCTAACTCCACCTCAGCCACGACTGTTTGGACTTTTCTCTGTACCTGATGGACAGGAGTCGAGGTCCTCCGCTGATGTCCAGACATGGAGCTGTGGTCACGGTGTCCAATCCCTGGGATTGGACCTCATTTTGATCCAACTGTTCTGTGAGAAAAGCCAATAATGTGCAGTCGTGGAGGTCGTACTGTGTCTGAGGATGGAGGTGGAGGTGGAGGTGGAGGTGG